TGCTCTCAGAGTCTCCCTCTTGCCCCGTAGAATCCGTCTACTATCTCTCTGGTTCATGTATTCCACTTGCCCCTTACTAGTCTATTTGTGCTATTCAAGACGTCATGGCACACACTCTTCCTCAAACTCTTGAAGGCATGTATACTCCTGTCTCGCTGAGTAGTCACGCAAAGTCTGCACTATCAAGCTGGATCGGAGACTAATTGGATGGCATAGATCCGGCTGTGATAGGACGAGGGCGAGAGAGGGTGGTAGGAAATGGATAGAGGGACCAGGACGAGACGAGGGGTCAAGTGATTGACTTCACTTGTCGCCTTGACGAATAGTAGCGCGGTTGCTGAGAGTGGCAAGACTCACCATCCTGGTCTTCATACCCACGTCTACTGTTGACCAACTGGCTCCAGTCTCCGCCGCGTCTATCCTGTTGCTATCCGCAATAGCATATGACCTAGTCTCTTGTGTGCCAGCGCACAAATGTTGTGCTTCTACCTGTCTTGATTGGGATCACATTTTGGAATTGTTGCCAACATTATGGTATCGTTGGTGAGTTGGGCAAACTAACGAAGACACAGAGGTTGTTTGACCTTGTTTTCGCAACATGGTCAAATTGGTAGGAAGACTTATTGGAACGCACCTAATCAGGGGTCCATTGTCTGCATGATCATTTCAAAAGTTGAAACGTAGACGTGGTACATTCCCAAACGTTTCGCCGGCATCGTCAATGAGTATCACCATCATAAGCACCATACAGCAACTCGTCAAAGAGACGATGGACCCCGGACTAGGTGCGTTCCAATAAGTCTTCCTACCAATATGACCATGTTGCGAAAACAAAGTCAAACAACCTCTATACAACGAAAGGAGACTGCGACCACCTTCGACAAAACACATAGTTTAATCGGAGGTATGAAGACCAAGAAATTGTGGTCTAAGTCTTTCTACCAACATAAACGAGTTGCGAAAACAAGGTCAAACAACTTCGTAAAACAACGAAAGGAGACTGCGACCACACAAAAGGCCACACCATCTTGGTCTTCATAGCTTCGACAAAACACATAGTTTAATCGAAGGTATGAAGACGAAGATGGTTTGGTCT